TTTTTTTTTTTTTTTTTTTGGTTTTTCGAGATTTGGTTTTTTTTTTGTGACTGGGTTTCTCTGTGTAGCTTTGGAGCCTGTCATGGAACTCGCTCTGTAGACCAAGCTGGCTTCCAACTCACAGAGATCCGCGTGGCTCTGCCTCCTGATTGCTGGGATTAAAGGCGTGAGCCACCACAGCCCATCGAGACTGGGTACTATTTATTTTAAAATTTCACTGATTTTATTTTATGTATATGAGTATTTAGCCTGCATGTTTCATTTATTTTCTGTGTATGAGTGTTTTGCCTGCATGTTTTGCATGCAGTGCCCATGGAGGCCAAGAGACAGTGCCAGATCTATTGGAACTGGAGTTGTAGATAGTTAGGAACCACCATGTGGGTGCTGGGAATTGAATCCAGGTCTGCTTCAAGAGCAGCCAGTGCTCTTAACCACTAAGCCATCTCTCCAGCCCCTGAGGAATTATCTTTTAGGCATCTACTGCAGACACTAGAAATTAAATGAGGCACAGGGCAGACAAGATCCCCTTTGCACAGAGCTTACCGTCTGCAGGGGAGCAAGAAAGGACTAAAAGAAACCAGAATCCGACAAAGTACTCATCGTGGCTGACTTCTAGGGATGTTTTTGCTCCCATAAGATGATGACAAGGAGCCTGCTTTATAAAGAATGAGGTTGGTGGGGGTAAGAAGACAGTGAGAGCTTTTGTCAGACTGTTTTCTCCCTCCACTTACTGCCTATAACTTGAACTTCACTGTGGTGATATATTGTGTACCCTAATAAACTTGCCTGAGGATCAGAGGACAGAGCCAGCCACTAGATTAGACATAGAGGTCAGGCAATGGTGGCACACACCTTTAATCCCAGCACTAGACATATCATGCCTTTGCTTAGGAAGCACACACACACCTTTAATCCCAGGAAGTAATCTGGCAGGGCAAAGAAAGGTATATAGGTGTGAGGAAACAGGAACTCTCTCTCTTTTTCTTTTATGATTTATTTATTCTTATTTTATATGCATTGGTGCTTTACCTGCATGTATGTCTGTATGAAGGTGTCAGATCCCCTGTAACTGGTGTTGTTTTTAATGCAACGGCACTGTGTTATTCATTAAGCAACACTATTACCATGCGAGAAAGACCACAAGGCACGACAAAATCCACTATCAGAGCTTTATTAGGAGAAGGGAGGGACAGAAGAAAACGTGACCAGGCCTGTAGAAGATGTGTGTGTGTGTGTACAGAGAGAAGGCGGGAAGAGAAGGAGAGGAAGAAGGGGGAGGAGTTTGTGATCTGCTGCTTATGGATTCCCCTGCACATGTGCATATGGGCTTGCGGAGCTGTGCCACGCATGCGCATAGATTGTGTGATCATTCTGCATGCAGGACCTGGTGGAAGGATGAGGCTAAGACCATTGAACAATGAAGTAGGACTAGAGGTATGGAAATCTCCCAAGATAAGCTTCTTGGAGAAGGTGATGATCCTGATATACAAAGACAATCTTTATATGATGACCACACCCTAACGTTATGCTGAATGGCAGCCTTGAATGCTTGGGACAGAATTGAAGAAGTAAGAAAGAAAATTGAGTCATTTACAAAAGTTATACAGGGCCTAAAAGAAACCTTCACTGATTTCTTACAAAGATTGACTTCAGCAGTAAATAGAATGATACCAAATTCAGAAGCTAGACAGATAATAATTGAATCTCTGGCTTTTGAAAATGCTAATGCACAATGTAAAAGGATAATTAGGCCATTAAAGACAAGGTCAGCACCCTTGGAGCAATGGATCCAAGATACAATGAATATTAATCTCATGACCATGATGATACTTGGATAGGAGAGGTGATTTCCCGAGGTTTGAAGAAAAATAGTAATGTCAAATGTTTTAATTGTGGTAAACAAGGTCACCTAAAAAGGGGTTGTAAACAGGGCATTCCTAGAAACAATGTTTTCTCAAGGAATAATCCCAACAGACCGCCCCTCCCTTCTGGATTATGTAGAAGGTGTGCCAAAGGCAGACCTTGGACTAAGGAATGTAGATCAACAGGGGACAGACAAGGTAATGCTTTGCCTTTGCCATCGGGAAACTCCCTGAGGGGCCTCTCACAGGCCCCCATGTCCAATTCTGTTTAGTCCTTCCCAGAGCAATTAGAGAATCTAATACCTATTGTAAAAAAACATACTGCTATTGATGATAGAACAGCTATAGAAGAGAGAACAAAAAAATCAGGAGAAACTATAAATCAAAATTAGATCTGGAACCTCCCCAAAGTTAGGGTTGGAGAAGGGTTTTGTTTTTATCTCTCAGGAGAATGAAGGCCAAAGAATCTGAAGACCACAGGACAAATGAGACATCTGAAGAAAAAGGACAAATCATCCAGGAAAACTGTCCCAAGAAAAAGAGTAAATTGGCATATTGTTATATCACATATCTAACAGAATAAAACTTCATAAGTCTTCCTAAATGTTTGTTTCTGCTGTTATCTACAGACACATAACACAAATGGTCTTTATGTAGTCCCAGTTCAATTAAAAATTAAAGCTGGCTTTGGAGTTGGAGCTTGGCTCTCTGCTTCTCTGAACCCAAGCATGCTTGTTAAAAGAAAATGCAAAATTTCTGTATTATGTCAGAAGAGCCACCTAATATGGGACAGAAGAAAAACCAAAATTAAGGAACTATTCTATTGCCACTAATCTCATAATTCTTTGGTTTTATTTTGACTCTTTAAAACTTTTCTTTCTTTTTTTAAAATTTTTGTTTATTTATTTAGTTAGTTCATTTTTTTTTTCA